GGCGGGAGGAATGGAGTGGGAAGCTGCAGAGGGCATCTGACTTGTCACTGTGGGTGGATGTTGGCACTCACTGTGGTTTCTCCTGCTAATTTCTTCACTCTTGCCCACATCTCCTCAACCCTGCACTTTTACTCTTCTCGCTGGTTCCCCAGAGTAAGCAGCAGCTCAGGGTTGAACAAGCCTCCCGGCTGCCTCATTCCACTGGGAAAGCCTGGTACATAGTCGATAATAAATGACTTACTAAATCCTAGGAGACAGGCCCTGGGGCTGATTTCCTGGAATGTGAAATTCCGGTAGCTTGCAAAAGCACTAGAGCTTATTACTGTTGGCTTCCGCCCAGGGAGACGGGATGTGTGGTCAGCTGGTTTTCTTCCCTTTGGTTTTTTTCTAGCATATGAAAACATCTCCTATGAATAGCTGCCTAGCTCTTTCTTCTATACAGAAGTGGCTGCTCTCTGAGGCCTCCCTGTCATTGAATTGAGAGAAAGCAGCAGTGACATCGTGGGGACATCGCTAAGTCTTGTCCTTGGGATGTGAAAGACTGTAATGATGTCCCAAAGGCTTAGTTCTCGGGGCTAAGCTGGAGAAAAGTCTGTGTTGCCACTGGGTAGTTGCTGCTGTTGGGATCCATAATCCTGTCTCAGAATATATCACTCTGGGTACTCACATGTTTTGGTTTTCGGTATTTTGATTAGGAAGAGAGATCTGAATGAGAAAAGAAGTATCTTGGCGAGGGCTGAGAGGATTATATATGTAGCAGGAGCGTGCTCACCTAACATACTTGAGGCCCTGGATCCAATCTCCAACCCCCAAACAAAAGCTGATCAGAGGAACTCCTCCATGCCAGGTCCTTTGGAAAATAGAGCTCTGCAGGGCTCAGCCCCTGCCCTCCAGAAACCTGTGGTCGACTGGAGAGAGAACGTATAGCTAGAAAGCCAGATGGATTCCTTGAGGAGAGCTCTACCTTGGTAATTTAGCTCCCTCCCCTTCCCTCTCTTGTGGCCTATCCTCTGAGATCATCAGCTTCTCGTGATGTTCCTCTAAGTCAGGCTCGCACAGGGGGACGTGTCTGCCAGACATGGGTGTATAACCACAGCAATGAGACATTTGTTTTGGGATCATGAATTACTCTTTCCTCACCACTGGGTAACATGACTGGCTATAAGTGACCTTTGTCTATAACATCATAATTGAATTCTGGCACCATGGAGGGCATCTCCTTGACACCTATAACTTTGAGCTGGTAAAGCTGCTGAAAACACCCAGCACCCTGAGGCCCTTCTCCACCCACAGGCTGAAGGATCTGTTCCTCCGTTCCAGCAACCTGCAGTACTTCAAGCGACTTATTCAGATTCCCCAGCTGCCTGAGGTGAGTGTGCCTGGCCATACCTGGGCACTGCAGAGTCTCCAGCTCCTCTATGGAAGGCTGTAGGGCTTGGCAGGTGAGCCGCGGCTCAGGATGTGTCCCCCCCTCTTCAGAACCCACCCAACTTCCTGCGAGCCTCAGCCCTGTCGGAACACATCAGTCCTGTGGTGGTGATCCCAGTGGAGGCCTCGTCCCCTGACAGCGAGCCAGTCTTGGAGAAGGATGACCTCATGGACATGGATGCCTCCCAGCAGGTGAGAGCCTTTGGGAAAGAAAGTGCCCTTCCCATTGCCCCAAGTACAGGGCAGAGGATTCAGGAGTCTCAGCCCTTTTTGGTGGATCTCATTGCATTGTCTAGGCTGGCCTAGACCTACTGGGCTTACTCGATCCTTCTGCCTCAGCCTTCCACATAGCTGGGACTATAGACACACAGCTCTGCACCCAGCTTCATTCAGTCTTGTCTTAGCCAAGCATGAATGGAGAGATCACAGATGGATATGCACCAAAATCAAGAGAAGGACCATTCTTACACATTGCTCATCTGACCCCTTGTAGAATTTTCTGTGTCTCTGACTTGCTCTTCCTCCTTTCTGGTCCCTGCAGAATTTATTTGATAACAAGTTTGATGACATCTTCGGCAGCTCATTCAGCAGCGATCCCTTCAATTTCAACAGTCAAAATGGCGTGAACAAGGATGAAAAGTGAGTCCAACCTGGGTTCAAGCACATGGTGCAGGAATTGTTACCGTGTCCACAACAAGATAATGATTTGAATGTTTCATTGCTGGGGAGCTTGAACCACTGGTGGTACATGTCTGACTGTCTTATTGGGTGGCTTTTTATTAATTTGATTAATGAAAAGACTCAAAAGTAATTAGGTCCATTTGTACCACCAGTGGTACAAGCTGGCTATGGACAGTTCACGCAGGTAGCTCAGGTGGCTCAAACTGCCAGGAACGTGTTAAGCCACAGTCTGCCTTGGGACACTTAGAATAAGAGGAGTTCCTCATATTAGGTAAAGAATGTCTTGACCCTCAAACATTAGTCCCTTTAATTCCAGAAGATCAATGATGGTGACATACCTGTGGGTATTAGATTAGGTAACAGGAAAGAAGTTGTCCCTCAGTATCCAAGGGGAGATTGGATCCAGGACCCCAAATCCCTTATACAAAATTAGATTCCACTTGCACAGAACTTAGGCTCACCCTCAATGCTTCAGATCATCCCTAAATGACTAATAATATCTAACACAATGCCAGCACTGTATACATAGTTGTTATGCTATCTGACATTTTCCCCAAATGTTTCCAGTTTGCAGCTAGTTGAATGCACAGATAAAGAATTTACATGGGCCGGGGAGATGGCTCAGTGGAATAAGCGCTTCTCTGGCAAGCGCACGGGCCTGAGTTCAATCCCCACTTCTGCCAAATAAATAAATATCAGTTAAAAAAAACAAAATTTACAGATACAGAGGGTCATGGGTACAATTTATAGTGTTGAAGCATCATCCCCAAAGGAGCACTGGCTTTTAACTTCGTCACCCAGTCTCCCAGCTCACATTGAGAAGGTGAAGGGCAGCACACAGTGGAAGCGAACGCACTCCCCTTCTCTCCCCAGGGACCACCTCATCGAGCGACTGTACAGAGAGATCAGTGCGCTGAGAGCCCAGCTGGAAAGCGTGAAGACTGAGGTGTGCGCTGGGCTGTCCTCTGCTTCACCAGCACGGGATAGGTTTTAACCTTCGAGTTGTATCTTGCAGACACATCCAGGGCAGTTTAGTTAGTAGAAATGCCAACACCAAAAGAGCCTCCTGTGGTCTCCATTAGATCATTTCAAATTGAGCTAGTGAGATAGCTCAGTGGACTAAGTGCCTGCCTAGGTCCAAGCGCAGGGACCAAGGTTCGATCCCTGGCACCACACGGGGCCTCGCTCACTGAGCCGGCCAATGAGACCAGGTGTGATGATTTAGGCTTGTCATCCCAGTGCTAGGGAGACTGAAAATAGGAGGATCACTAGGAGTCTGAGATACATAGTGAGACCCTGTACCAAATACATAAAATATAGAATTCATTTTCATGTCATGTCACCATGGACAGGAGCTAGGCTGGGTGCTGGTGTCCCTGGCAGCCACAGTCACTACCTGCCCAGGGCTACACTCCCAAAGACAAGTTTTTCTCACTTGGCCTTACAAAGAATTTAGTTTGGGAGTGGGGAGGCTGTTTGTTGCCTTGGGTGCTCTATATGATGTGTGATTGGAAAAATACAGCATTGTTTTATTTATTTTTTTTTTTTTTAATTTTTTTTATTTGTGTGTGTGTATGTGTGTGTGGCCAGCTCAGCCCACCAGGGGGCGGGGCTGGCTGGCATGTGGTGCTGGGGGATTGAACCCGGGTCCCTGTGCTTTAGCTGAGCTTGTTCTAAGTAGGTGCTTTAGACCACTGAGCCATCTCACCAGCCCCAGCATTGTTTTGCATTTTACTTTATATAGTAAAAAACACTTTGCTATGAATCCCCCTAGAATTCTTCCCCTTGCTTCGAACACACCAATCTCGTCACTCTTTTAGCTTTCTGAAGCAGTTCTGGGAGGACTCCTTCATGTCTTTAGTTGCATTCCTGTGGCTGCCGTGAGTCCCTAAGCAATTAAAAATGTTTCCCTCCCATGATGGTTTTGATTTGGGGAAAGAGCCAGAGTCTCATGGTGCCAGGTCTGGCAGGTAAGGTGGAGGAGGACGCACCACTAAGATTTCCCAAGCCTGTCTTTCCTTTCGGTGATGCTAGACAGCAACAGTGACCCCTAAAAGACACAAGTAGATTTCCAGAACTATTCCCTAAAGCGGTAAGAGTGATGAGATGAGTGAGCTTGAGGCAAGGGGGATTAAGGCAATGCGTCTTTGACTGTAATACATTTTTTTAATTTAAATATTAACTATATATGTTGATTATAATTCAAATATGCCTGTGCCTCAGTGCCATCTGGTCAGAGGACTTGACCCTTGGGGCAGGCCCAGGATCCTCCCCTCTTCCAAGCTCACTCAGCGCTACCCTCAGGCTACTATAACTGAGACCAGAATCCTCTGCCACAAGCCTCTGTTGGTGATGAGTGTGTGGTCTGAAATAACCAGAAGGCTCAGCTCTCATAAGGCCTTGAGTGCTGGCTGATTAGGAAAACTTTGTATTTATAGCCATCCCTCAGTGTCTATAGGGGACTGGTTCAGGACACACCGTAGATATTCAAAACCTAAGAATACTCGGGTCCTCTACTATGGCACAGCATTTACATAGAACCTTGACACATCCTCCCTTAGAGTTCAGAATACCTGCAGATCACTTATACCTAATATGATGTGGTTGGTTGAGTCCATGGCTAAGGGATTCACAGATACTGCAGCCAACTATATTTGGTCAGTACCACCATCCTGCCCGATGCCCCAGTCCACGACTGGCATAGACCACTCCCCTGGGTCCTTCCCACAGAGCCAGCGGGCCATGCTGCAACTGAAGGGCCGTGTGAGTGAGCTGGAGGCCGAGCTGGCTGAGCAGCAGCACCTGGGCCGGCAGGCGGCCGATGACTGCGAGTTCCTCAGGGCAGAGCTAGACGAGCTCAAGAAGCAGCGGGAAGACACGGAGAAGGCGCAGCGGAGCCTGACAGAGATAGAGAGTGAGAGGGGTCACGTTGTGCCTGAGGGGAGGGTCCAGGCAGGGTCAGGACAAGAAAGCGCTGCCAGGGATGCCAGCCCCTGTCACTAGGCAAAGGGACAGACTTAAGGGTTGCAGAGACTACTGGGTCTACAGTGACAGGAACTAGAGGTGATGAAGGGGTGGCTTCCCTGGGGTGGGGGTGGGGGGGCACCCAGAGAGGAAGGAATTGGGACAAGGCCCTGAGGAGAATAATCACCTTAGAGCAGCCAAAACCCCAATGACAGGAATGTCCTACAGAGAAATACTGAGGAGATACAAGTTACAGGAAGGACTTTAGTCAGGTGAATTCTTTTTGTTGTTTTTTAAAGATGATTTCTCAGAGAAGTCTCTGTAAGCAGGAGTTTGGAGGGAGAAGGTCTGTGTCCTTACTGGAAGGAGGAGGGTAGAGGGTCCCAGCCAGGGTGATGCCTCACCTCAGTCCTTGACAATGCAGGAAAGGCCCAGGCCAATGAGCAGCGGTATAGCAAGCTCAAGGAGAAGTACAGCGAGCTGGTTCAGAACCATGCCGACCTGCTGCGGAAGGTAGGACCACAACTCCTCTCACCATCCAGCACCACAGGGGAGATAGCAACACTCTGTTTCTTGGGAATCCCAGCTCTACAAGCCCCTTTGCCTTACATATCTTGAGCTCTATCTTAGGTGCCCAACCCCTCTTAGGATCATCCACCATCTTTGTTATTTTTGTAAATACTACAGTGCAATATCTGAAGGTCATGGTGAGATTCCAGCATCCCTGTGGATAGGAAGGTCATTGCATTGATGTGTCCAACTCCTGGGCACTCTCAGTCTGAATGGGGTCACTGGTTCTAGGAGGAAGATATGCTGTGAGCCTGAGTGACACCAACCCAAGATGCTGTTCTTCCTTACAGAATGCAGAGGTGACCAAGCAGGTCTCCATGGCCAGGCAAGCCCAGGCAGATTTGGAGCGAGAAAAAAAGGAGCTCCAAGATTCCTTTGAGCGCATCAGTGACCAGGCCCAGCGGAAGGTGAGCGGAAGGAGAAGCACTTGTGAGATGGGGTGAAGGTGGTCTTTGAAAGGACTTTGTCATCTGCTCCATGGTCCTGAGCCATGGAGCCAAGAGATGAAGCCAAGAAGAATGGCGCTCATCAGCACAAGCTTCCCAGAGCAAGGCTTGAGGAAGAGAAAGCTAGAGGAGAATGTGTATCTACAAAGATTTATAGACAAGAGAACACCATTGCGTGGCTGTAGGATTGGCAGGTGATGGGAGGGTTCATGGTGGAGCAAGAGATGTCTAATGGATAAGACTGAGTGTCTGAGACTTTGAGGAATGACATTTGCACTTTCCTCTGTGACCCAGAATGAAGAATACATCATCTACCTATGGGAAGTAAACATTTCACCAAGTAATAATTACCCTTCCTATTGAATGCTTTGAGAGAGTTTCTCTTCCATTTCAGCTATTTTTATTTTTTTTTAAATATTTATTGATTTATCTATTTAGTGTGTGTGTGGCCAGTTCAGCCCACCAGGGGGCGGGGCTGGCTGGCATGTGGTGCTGGGGGATTGAACCGTGGTCCCTGTGCTTTGCTTAGCTTAGCTTGTTCTAAGTAGGTGCTTTAGACCACTGAGCCATCTCACCAGCCCATTTCAGCTATTTTTAGTGTTAGCAGTGAATTCCAAACGGATTGTATCCCACTCTGAGAAAAACTACTTCAAAATCAAAGAAAAGAAATTTTCAAGATGGCAAGGTTGCTAGAGATATAGCTCAGCTGCGTAGCACCCACCTGACAAGTGAAATGTCATGTGTTCAATTCCTGGTACCAAAAAAAAAAAGATGGTGAGGTGTTATAGTCAGCAACCATGGGGTGGTGCACACCTATAACCCCAGGCTGACTGAGCAGGAAATACACGAGTTTCAGGCCAGCCTGAGCTACATAGTAAGATCCTGTCTCAAAAAAACAAAACAACAACAAAATCCTAGCATTCCAGGTGTTGGGATGCCTAAATCATAGATCTAGTTCGCCCTTGGTCCGTACTGTGGGCTCTCCCTTAACATTCCCCTTTGGGGGGAGAAAAGTCATTGGTACAGTCTAGGGCATTGCCTCCTTCCATCCTTTTGCTGGGGTTCAACTTCATCCAGCAGAGCACAGTTTGGGGGACCTTGGTATTCCTTCCTCCCCCAGCCGTCACCCTGCTCAGAGCCTTCTTCCTCTGCTGCTTTTCCAGACCCAGGAACAGCAGGAAGTTCTAGAGAGCTTGAAGCAGGAGCTCGCCACCAGCAGGCAGGAGCTGCAGCTCCTGCATGGCAACCTGGAAACTTCTGCCCAGGTGAGCCCGGCCCGCTCTCGAACATCGGGCTCCCCAGCCTCCAGCGTCTGCCTGTGGCCTAGTCTGTCTCCCTGTGAGCACCAGGCAGTGAAGACAGCAGGGGGAGGAATTGTCACCCTCTGCTCCTTGGTGCCAAGAGGAGGGTTTGGACCTGTGGGCGGGAGGAGTGGTTCTCCCAGCGTCTCTCTCTCCCCCATGCTATCACCATTACAGACAGAAGCAAAATGCACAGCGCAGGTCACTGAGCTAGAAAAGGAGCGGGACAGCTTGACGAGCATGGTGGCGGGTCGCGAGGAGGAACTGTTGGCCCTTCGAGAGCAGCTGGAGTGCTCCCAGCTCCAACTGGCCAGCGCACAGGCAAGTGCAGGACGCTCACTCAGGCTGAGCAACTCCGACTCCCGTGGGGGCTGGTGTGTGTGGAGGCAGGGGTGGCACAGCAGGTCAGGGCCGTCAGCCTGGTTCCAGGGCCCTGTCCAGGCACAGCCCCTAGTGCCAGCCATTGAGCAAAGGCAAAGCGTCTCTTTTCATTTAGAGGAGGAGTGCACTTGGGATTGTCTGCAGGTGTGGAAAATGAGTCCTCATGACCCCATGCACAGCCTCCTGGGGTCCCTTACACACACCTGTGGCCTATAGTCAAGCGTTCTGTTGAGTTTCACGCTCACTGGTTTGGACCTCTTTCATGACAGCCTGAGCCAAGAGCCTTGAGCTGCTAGCAAGTTCCCAGGGGGTGTTACTTGGGCTCAGTATCCGGCCTGGGACAGACTCTTACCTCCCTGGGCTGTTCTAGGAGTCTATGTGCCAGCTTGCCAAGGACCAGCGGAAGGCGCTGCTACTGCGGTCCAGGAAGGTTGTGGAGCGCATGGTGCAGGAGGCACTGAGCCAGCTGGAGGAGCCCACGCTCATCAGCTGCGCAGGGTCCACAGGTACCATCCCCTCCCAGCTGCGGGTCATATCCTCACAGCCTGCTGTTGCCTGGTGGCACTGGGTCCCCGTAGTGGCCTACTAAGCAGGACCATCTATCTGTACAGAGACAGTCGTGGGGAAGGGGTGTGCCAAATGCCCTCTTGATGGAGGGAGCCCCAGGATTCCAATGAGGCTTTGAAGAACAGAGATCTGGGCGCAGTGCACACACCTGTGATCCTAGCATTTGGGAGGCTGAGGCAGGAGATCTCGAGCTCAAGCCTACCCTGGGCAGTTTAGACCCTTTCTCAAAATATGAAAAGGACTAGGAAGCACCTTAGTATCCTGAGGTTCAATCCCTACTGTTGGAAGGAAAAAAAGAGAGGTGTAAATTAGTGGAGAAAAATGGAGATGGGAAGCAATTTTTTAAAAACCTGTTCCAAGCATAGTGGCCCACACCTGTAATCCCCTGTAATAAAAATTTTATTTTTTAATAATTTAATAAAAATTTTTGCTGATGCAAAGGCCCTGGGTTTCATCCTCAGCAACCTGTCCTATATATAATAGATGAGTAAGTAAAAATAAATAAATAAATAAATAAAGACACTTGACTTATATTGAGACTTCCCACATGCCGTGTTCTACTGTAAGCACCTGCATGGACGTGTCCTGGCGCAGCTCACCTTCACAATGTCCCCATGAGGAAGTCCTGTCATTCTCCTGCTTTCAGATGAGCAGGGAGACACAGCTAGCCTGAGGTCACATAGCCCAGTGAGAACAGCAGAACCATCAGCCACCCCACCATCAGCCACCCCTGGAATGCGCTTTCAGCTCCTGAGCTGTGTGGCCTCCATGGATCTGTGACCACGGCTGCCAGTGGTATAGGGCCAAAAGGAGCCAGTCGTGCCCCAAGAGCAGAGAGACCCAGAGTGCCTTCGAGGACTCTGCGGGATTCATGCAGTGGCCAGCGTGAGAGGACAGAGGCGAATCCTGCACTAGCACCACGTTCCCAGCGCGATGCTGAGGCCGAGATCGGCTCAGAGGTGGCTTCTCCGTGTAGTACTTCGCGTCGGAAGCAGTGTGCCACAGTCTTCCTTCCCACTCTTCCCTTGGCCCAGGGCAGCTCCTGCAAGGCTGGGCAGCCTGTCTGTCCAGCCTCCTCCATGGGGATGGGCGCGAGCCCTGAGAACCCTTGCTCTGACTTCGCCCTGTCTTCCCTCTCACAGAGCACCTTCTCGCCAAGGTCAAGTCTGTTTCCAGCTGCATCGAGCAACTGGAAAAGAGTCGGAGCCAGCATCTGGCCTGCCCAGAAGGTGAGAAGGTGGAAAGATAGACATTGTCACTAGTGGCAGCCAGGCGGGTTCAAAAATGCTGCAGTGTGGGGACAGTGACAGGTCCCTACACGCCAGGAAAGGGGTGTATGTGACTCCAAAAGCGGGGAAGCGGAGGGTCTGAAATTAACACCCTCACCCTGGCCTGAGAAACATTTCTTCCCACTGCTGGCAGAAATAAGTGACCTTCTGCACTCTGTCATGCTGCTCGGCCACCTGACCAGTGACACCATTGCTCATGGGAGCAGCACCAGCCTCAGGGCCCCACCAGAGCGTGCAGACTGTGAGTATCAGGGTTCGGGGACTGCCCTGAAAGCCGGAGAAGCAGGAGGCCTTTAAACATCTCCGTCACCCTGTTTTCAGCGCTGACCGAGGCGTGCAAGGAGTACGGCAGGGAAACCCTCGCCTACCTGGCTTCCCTGGAGGAAGAAGCCCCCCTCGAGAACACTGACAGCACTGCCATAAGGAGCTGCCTGAGCAGGATCAAGGCCATTGGCGAGGTATTTCCTTCTGCACTTGGGCCTCGGGGGAGAGCTGGGAAAGTCGGCCTCTGAGGGCCTTCCCGCCAGTGTGACTCACTGGCTGTACCTGGGAAGGCGCTGTGCGGCCAGCACTGCGTGAGGAGGGGACACGCGGCTTTCCTGTCCCTGAGTGTTAGTAGCTGGTTGGGTAGGTGATACCTCCAGTGGGCACAATAGTGCACGTATTTGTTCGTTCTATTGTGGATACATCCAGTCTACCAGGAATTGGGTTAGGATAGGGACAAAAATACATGAACCCAACAGGAAAGAAAAAGAAGAAAGGCAACCATTTTATACTCAGAGTAAAGAAGTAATAGAAATCTATTTTAAGATTATAATACATAATCTTATTATAGAGGAACATGCCTGTGATCCCAGCTACATGGCATGCTGAGGAGTCTGAGGCCAACTTGGGCCCCTTAGTGGAACCCTGTCTCAAAAAAAAAAAAAAAAAAAGAGTAAAATGGAAGATAACATGTAATTCATTCCTAAAATATAGAAAATTCAGGGAAGGATGACACCAGGGCCACAGTAAAATCTCCTTTCATCTCCCAGCTGGGCTCTGAATCTTTCTTTGGCTTTGCTTTTTCAGTACTGGAGTCAAACCCAGGGCCTTGTGCTAGGCAGGCTCTCCCACTGGGTTCTGCCCTTGGCCCTCTCGTTTGGACCCACTTCCCCCCATGTAGTTTTCTACCCCTGGCTTCTATCCCCTGCTCTCTTCCCAAAAACAGATTTGACTGTGTTTCTTGTTTGACGATCACCAAATGTAGGGAATATTTACATTTTCAAAAATTTATTAAACTACAACACATTACCTTGAGTCCCTGTCAAAATACTCCTCCTTGCTTCCAGCACCTGATCCCATCATTTTTTTTCTGGGTTTTTTTGTTTGTTTGTTTGTTTGCAGAACTGGGGATTGAACTCAGGCCCTTGTGCCTGCCAGGGAAGTGCTTATTCTACTGAGCTATCTCCCCAGCCCCAATCCCATCTTTTTTGCCACACTCTGAAGTACTTCTGGAGCCTCTTTTGTGAGGGTCTTTGGTTGCACTGTAGTAGCTGCCTCAATGTCCTGAATCCATGCAAAATGGTTCCCTTTCATGATCAATTTGACTTTGGGGAGGAGGCTGAAGTCACACCATATCAGAGCCTGTGAATAAAGTGAAGAAGGATATACCATCAAGTTTTTACTTATCAAATTGCTGTGCATGTTTGATTACAAGGGCTGATCATAAAACATAGTGAATGTTTAAATTTTAAAAATTTTTCTAGGGCCAGTGAGATAGCTCAGCAGACTAAGCGCCTGCTTAAGCAAGCTCAGGGACTGGGGTTCGATCCCTGGCACTCTTCCTAGCCTGGGCTCCGGCCCCACCCCCGGGGTACACTGAGCCAGCTATGAAGTCCGGGCACGGTGGTGCACACCTGTAATCCCAGTGCTGGGGAGGTTGAGACAGGAGGATAACTATGAGTCTGAGCTGCACAGTGAGACCCTGTAACAAATACATAAATTTAAAACAAACAAACAAACAAAAAAACCCATGTACTAAAAATTATTCTATAAATGACACACTGCAATCAGTCTCTACCACAGCTACTCCCTTGTGGCTTAAACACCAAAAAGGAGGCAGAGGCCGGAAGACTGTGAGTTCAATTCTAGCCAGGGCGGCTAGGAATTTAGTAAAACCCTGCCTCAAAACTTCAAAAGGTTGGACCAGGGAGATGGCTCATAGAATAAGCGCTTGGCTAGCAAGTGCAAGGACATGAGTTCAATCCCTGGTTCCGCAATAAATCAATCAATCAATCAATCAATCAATCAAAAGGTTGGGGTGTAGCTCAGCGCAGAGACCCTTGTTTAACCCCCAGTACTGCAAACAAACAAGCACATGTGACATCTGTTTTGTAGTTTTGCATCATTCCTTCAGACCTGAGGTCAAATCTCTGCTCTGCTATTGTATTAGCAGCATAACTGTGGTCAGGACACTCTCCCTCTCTGAGCTTTGGTTTCCTGTCTCTACAACAAGATAGGAGTAGTTGCTGGGTCATACTGCTTGAGAGATACATTTGCATTTGAGAAGGTTTTAAGATACTTCCACCTATGCTGCACATGGTAGCACATGCCTGTAATCCCAGCACACTAGAGAGTGAGGCAAGAGGATCACTGTGAGTTCAAAGCCAGCCTGGGCTCCATAAGTGAATTCAAGAACACCCTTCACTACATAGCAAGACCCTGCCTCAATAGATAGATAGATAGATAGATAGATAGATAGATAGATAGATAGAAAGAAAGAATACTTCTATCTAGCAAATGAGTTGATACTGTACAAATATAGGGTTAGCCGGAGTGCGCTGAGACAGCAATTGAGATTGGACGTGGCGGCGCACACCTGTAATCCCAGCTCTTGGGAGGCTGTAAACAGGGGGATCACTACAAGTCTAATCTAATAGTGAGACCCTGAATACTCTGTAGACCCTTCCCTAAAATAAAAAAATAAAATAAAATAAAATAAAAACATAGGGATTAGGACTGGTGGTTTCCTAAAAGGTTCCCACGTCAGGTGTCCTGTAAAGATGACTACCCTGCCGAGAGTCGCTACAGCCTTTGTAATGCTGTTCATAGGAGCTGCTGCCCAGGGGCCTGGATATCAAGCAGGAAGAGCTGGGAGACCTCGTGGACAAGGAGATGACTGCCACTTCAGCTGCCATTGAAGCTGCCACAGCCCGGATCGAGGTAAGATTCTGTCGGATCTTCACAAGTGGTACTGTTGTAGCCGTCCTGGAACAGCCTTGCCTGTTAGACACATCTTAGGCATGAGGCTACAGTGGCCCCTGAAAAACAACCCACACCAAACCCACTGCATCCAGGAGGGCTAGAAGCAAGGGGGATCCTCGTTAAAGGAAGCTGAGCAGTTTCCCCAAAGGTCAGATACTTTGGTGTCAGACCAGCCCGCGTTCAAGTTCCAGGCTGACAGCTTATTAGTTACATGGCTTATATAATTTATATTCTTGCTCAGCTTTTCATCCCAGATATCAGATTTTTCTTTAGGGTGGCAATAATCATGAGCCTAGCCTAGTGACATTGAATTGCAGCCCTACTCAATAGTAATTAATCTCAGAGAAAGCTGAGTGGGCACCCCTGCAAAGGTCACGTGTCACTCCTTTGGTGGAAACCTCAGATCCAGACCACAGCTATCATGGTAGGATCACCCACCTCTGGGAGCCGATAGCAGCTGCCCCTTTTGGCCTGGGGTGACCACACTCAGCTCTCTCTGCACTTGGGTGTCTGAAGGTTAGGACCTCCGCTGATTGCAAAGTGATCTCCTGTGGCTGTCTTTCTGCTGGACAGACAGGAGCCCTGAGCTCTCTCTGACCTGCACAAGCTCATGGGTGCGGCGATTAGACTTGAGTTTGCCAGCACACACAGAAGGTTGGACCTGGAATGCAATAAGACATTGACGGGTTGCTGGCACTAGTGTTGCATTTAGATAGAAACTGTGCTTTTTTAAAAACAGGAAATGCTCAGCAAATCCAGAGCAGGAGACACAGGCGTCAAGCTGGAGGTGAACGAAAGGTCAGTCTGAGCCACAACAGCAGTGTTCCTGGTGGTGGCTGATGCCCTGCTGCATTATGGGGAAATGCAGCCAGGAGTCGTGGCTGAGCCATTCCCTAAGACAAAGGTTTCCCATCAGTCTTCTCCTCACTGGCCGTGGGCTTCACCCTGGACCGTTCTAGCAATCCCAGCACCTTCCTAGCCTCTCAGCCCCCTCCCACATTTGCCTTGGTGTTAAAGTGAGGGAGGGAGTCATCCTGTTTATTCTTGGTCTCTGTGTCTCAGACTCATTTGTTGTTTGCACAGGATCCTTGGCTCCTGTACCAGCCTGATGCAAGCCATCCAGGTCCTGATTGTGGCATCAAAGGATCTCCAGAGGGAGATTGTGGAGAGCGGCAGGGTGAGCAGGGTGTAGGCCAGAAGACAGGGTGCTCAGCTGTCGACAGTGGCTCCTCTGCCACCGGTTTTTCCTCAATCCATGAGGGCATAGCTGCTGTACCCATGGGCATCAGATGCGGGGGCATGAGGTGGGGCTGTGCTGGCTTTCAAGGGCAACCAGCTACAGCTTCTAGCCTTGGCTGTGACTCGTGCTCCCCAGGGAGACCTGCTGTGGAGCCCCATTTCTGCTGTAATGTGGGCCTCCAAGGAGCACATGGGAACTTCGGGAAATTGGGCAGACCTAAAGAGCAGACCCAGTGCTGTCCCTCACGTCCCTTGGGGGATTGGCCCCAGACCCCTGTGGATACTGAAACGTGCAGATGCTGTTGTCCCTCTTACAGAACAGCATGGAGTTTGCACAGAATCTACACACATCCTCCTGTAGAGGACAGATCACTTCCAGCTGATTTCTAGTACCTACTGTAGTGTAAACACTTTGAGAAAAGTTGTTACATTGTAGTATTTCATGAATAATAGCAAGAAAAATTCTGTACAGATACAGTTTTTTTGCTCTCTTAACATTTTTGGGACAGGCTTGGTGGCACACACCTGTGATCTCTGCACTTGGGAAGCTGAAGCCCAAGGATTGCAATGAGTTTTGAGGTCACTCAGGGCTACATAGCAAGACCCTGTGTCAGTCAATCAACAAATCAATCAAAAATTTTTAAAAACTAAAAATATTTTTGCTCCAGGACTACCTGCTCACAGGCAGAGGTAGCCCGTGAAGACAGAGGGCTGGCCGTACTGACTTCCCACAGCAACAGAGTGGGCTTGTCATTTATTCACAGAGCCCCTGCATTGGCCTCTTGTCCACTCTGCCACTTTGGCCTGTTGCCCCCTGGGAGGCTGAGGACTTATGTAAGGGATTGCAGCCCAGACAAAGCAGCCCACCTGCTCACTGCCGCCTGGGGCTGTTTGCTGTCCACACTGTGGGCAGGTGGGCTGGTGAGGTTTATCTGCAGATTGTCGGACACTTCCCAAGCGTAGACAGTTCTTAAATCCAACTAGGAGTCATTTTTAACAATTAGCCACTGTGTACTATCTTTTGACAAATCGTGGAGCACAGCCAGACCCTCTCGGGCCATCATTTGTGCCTTTTATTCATCTATCAAACAGCCGCCCCTCAGCACCCTCAGTGAAGTGGTTCTAGGACCCCCTGCGGATGCCAAAGCCCCTCACGTACAAGGGTGCTCGCATCTAACCTGTGCACACCTTCTGTGTACTTCATCGTCTGCACTTGTACTGAATGCAGTGTGAGCACCAGGGAACACACCCAGAGAGCACTCCACATGTGGTACAGACAGGATTCTCTGCCCCTGCTCCGCGGTGCTGGGCATTGATCACGGCCTCATGCGTGCTGAGCAAGCGCTCTGCCACTGAACTGCACCCTTGGCCCCCTGGTTATTTTCAGTCCACTGGTGGTTGAATCTCTAGATGTGGAACACGAAGTGCCAGCTATAGCAACAAACAGGCATTGGGAGTCCGGGAGCCCATGATATATTCCTACTTATGTCCTGTATGACAGTAGGAAGATTTTTGCCTGCCTAAATCATACTTTACTCTTTTGCTTTTAAAATAAGGTCTCGCTTTATAGTTTAGACTGGCCTTGGACTTGAGCAGTGATCCTCCTGCCTCAGCCTCTGAGTGCTGGGATCACAGGCACGCGCCCCCACGCCCAGGTGGTACTCACAGATACAGGTAGCTCACCAAGGAGGGCCGGCTTTATTGACCTGCGGGGCTACAATCCTGTGGTCTTATCTATAAAATGGGCATGACAATGCTTTCTCTCAACATGATAGTGAGGGCTCTAAGATTACATACAGAGTCTCTGGTATGTTGTAGGCACTCAATAAAGTAACAGCTGTTACTATTTATCACTTGTACAGGGAACTGCATCCCCTAAGGAGTTTTACGCCAAGAACTCTCGGTGGACAGAAGGACTCATCTCAGCCTCCAAAGCTGTGGGCTGGGGAGCCACCATCATGGTGTAAGCGTCTAGATCCAAGTCCTCCTCCCAACCCCCATGCCATTGACCCACCCCAGAGAAGAGCTGAGGGAGAAAGTCAGTGGGACTGAAAGTTGGAAAGGGACCTTGCTTTGTGTGAGGCGAACATGGGCAGGGTGGGCAGACTACCCTCCCTGTCCAGCCAGGGCCATGGGGTAGGGGGTAAGGGCACAGCTGCTTATGACCTTGTCTGTCCTCTCCTAACTGTCAGGGATGCTGCTGACCTAGTGGTCCAAGGCAGAGGGAAATTTGAGGAGCTACTGGTGTGTTCCCATGAAATTGCTGCTAGCACGGCCCAGCTTGTGGCCGCATCTAAGGTAAGACTGTGCCGGGCTTCCAGGGTGCTCTAAGGCCTGGCTAAGTTAGAGTCCTTGGATGATGGAGTTGACCCCAGGGATAGGTGATTATCCATGATTTGGTACCTTGGGGCCCAAATTCTGCCGTAGGGTCCCATACCGCCCTCTTCTAACCTAATCTCTGCCACCAAGGCCCCCTCCCCCAGGTTTCCACCTGTGTGCCTGTGGCTCCCTGCTTTTGTTGGGACCTTCTAGGATCTCTTAAGTAGTAATCCCAGCATCAAGGAGCACTTAGATAGGCTCCGGTTGGCATGGAAGAGGGGCCACCTGCCATGGCTGAGAGTCCGTGTAACCCATGTTTTTAGTCTCCAAACCTGAGCCAGTATCCCTGCCAACCCTGTGCAAAGTTTGTAACCAAAATCTTTTTATAGCTCTCACACCCCTCACCCAGTGAGGGTTCATTTGTTCGTATCTTTTTGTTGTCTCAGATTGCTTTTCACAACTGCACCTGGTGATTGAAGTGAGAAAGCTAGAATTTGGGGCCACCAAGCCCACAAGCCAGGAAAGGATTGTTTAGATTACAGGCGTGCTGGGAGAAGACTCCACAGACAGCAGGTTTTAAGAAATTGATTGATAACAACAGGGGGTCTCACTTACTTGTCAAGAACCATCAGACCGATTGCTTGGTGCAGTCCTTGCTGCTACAGATGTGTGACCCCAAATCCACTTTGTCCTGGCAGGTGAAAGCTGATAAGGACAGCCCCAACCTTGCCCGACTACAGCAGGCCTCTCGGGGAGTGAACCAGGCCACAGCAGGGGTGGTAGCCTCCACCATTTCGGGCAAATCACAGATCGAAGAGACAGGTAGCTTTCTAGAATACTGTTTTTCTCCTCCACCATGTTGAGCCACTATATATTTAACCCCATGGTCCCAATTTCCAATGTTTCTATTTCTAAATGCTGTGCTTGCTTCAGCAGCACATATACTATTTCTAAATGCTCTTTTTGTTTTTTTACATCTATTCTCATTTTCTCCAAAGGTGGAATACCATGTTTACATTGCTACTATGATAGCCCCTTAAGTAGATTTTCAAAGAAATAGCTACAATGGCTGATGGATAGCTGAGTAGACTAAGCGCCTGCTTAGGCAAGCACAGGGACCCGAGTTTGATCCCCAGCACCACATGCTGCACTGGCCCCACCCCCAGAGCACACTGAGCCAGCAACCGAGTCCAACGCTAGGGAGGCTGAAAACAGAAGGATCACTGCAAGTCCAAGCTGCTAGTGAGACCCTGTACCAAAATCACTAAGAAAAAAGAAAGAAGAAGAAAGAGCTATGAGGAAAATCTACAAGCTGGTTGCCCTTTGGAGAAGACGTATACCGGTCACTCCCGTCATCCCTCCTTTCCATCCCTTGGTGTCTTCTATGTACGTGCTAGCGCGTGGTAGGCCCACACTCCTACAAAGCATTGGCATTGCCTAGGGGACATCAGCCAGGGACATCAGCCAGGGATATTATTTGACAAAAACTTTTTTTTTTTTTGGCGTAACCAGGGATTGAACTCAGGCCCTTGCTCTTGCCAGTTTAAGCGCCTGTTTTACTGAGCCATCTCCCTAGCCCCAACAAAAACTTATTTCCATCCTTGCAGACCATATGGACTTCTCAAGCATGACACTAACCCAGATCAAGCGCCAAGAGATGGATTCCCAGGTGAGAGCCCATCACTGACTGATTCTAGAGATCTCCACTGCATAGACATCAGCCCCAAGTATTATTCCAGGGAGAGGAGTCAGAGAGACCAAGAAAGTTGGAGGGAAATGAGCCAGATGTTCTTACTGGCTAGCCCAAGGCTGAATGTTAATCATGTTGCAAGACTCGCTGGAGATGGAAGAGGTGATTAGCAAAGATCAGAACCTGAACTCGTGCCCACTCGTCTTGGATTGGTTCCTCTTCACGTTTAGGGATCTCCTGGCAGCCCACAGACTGGTACTTCATAGTCTTACTGTCACCTAGTGCTGGAGTTCCTAGGGGTCCTTTCTAGGCTCTTGTCCTGTTCAAAGAAAACTAAAGAACATTTTTATATTTATCAAAGCTAAAAGTAGGTGGTGGGGAGGAGGGGGAGTATGGAAAAGAAAGTACACTCAGCACACCAAGAGGGCCACTGCAAGAGAAAGATGACAGTGGTCTCGAGGCCGATGGTTATACCCCCATCTGACATGAGATCCAGGCCATCCTGCCACTGTTCCACATGTGACAGGTCATGTCCAGTTACTCAGCCACTTCACTATGCCCTTATGACCTGCCACATTCCTATAGATATTTTTAAAAATCTTGTCTCAGCTAATTTTCTTTCGTTGGTAGGACAAAATTCCCAACACCTAGAACTAAGGAAGGAAAGGTTTATTTAGCTCACGGTTTGTGGAGGTTTCAGTCCATAATCAGCTGGCTCCAAGGCAGGGTGGCACAGGGCAGAGGGCAACAGTTCATGGTGGCAGAAAGCAACAAAGCAGCTAGAACAAAAAAGGGAACAGCAGTAGCAGAGGCAGAGGCAAGCCTCTCCCTTTTTTTTTTTTTTTTTACTGCATTCAGGCTGTCTGCCCCAGGGCAGGCGCACCACTCACACGCATAATCCCAGCAGCGCTCACAACTATAATCCCAGCATTTCATGAGTTAATCAAAAATTCTAGAAGCCCACCCCAATGAGGCTTTGGGAGGACACCCAGTGAGGCTTTGGGGGGACACACAGACACAAACCGTAACACTTCTGATACAAAATGTGTATGACCTTTATAGTTGAAAACTGGAAATTGGAAAACATAAACAGAAGCCAACAACAACAAAAATAAATAAATGAAAATAAAACTCAATGGTAATTCAAAGACAATGCCATTTATCTCCCTGGTTCAGTAAAGCCAGGCCATGCAACACAGCAATCAGTGGGATTCTTAAAAACTCTGCTATCCTTTTCATCAGTTTTAGATTAAGATCTAAGTTGGGTTGTTAAAGCTTTTCGGGTGGTTCACTTAGCATCTTGTATAAGTCATGTGGTCAGATTTCTCTCTAAACACTGAAAGACACTAGATACAGTGGGCCATGCCTTAATCCAGCTGCTCATGCCAGGGGCCTTGTAAGTTTGAGGCCAACTGGGCATTTTACTGAGACCCTGTCTCAAAAATTCAGAAAAGGGCTGAGATGTAGCTTAGTATTACAGCATTTACCTAACACACACAAGAACCCTGGGTTTGATCCCAGTACAAGAACAAAATTAATAAATCGTAACAGAACTGTTACCTAGTGGCTCCGTATAGTCCTTGACTGTAAATACCTTCTATGTGCTGACAAAACCCTGATGCTTCCCCCTGGCCTGAATCTTCCCCTTGAACTCCCCACCCTCCCAACTATTTGTTGACTCCACTCAGTGTCCAAGTGGAACGTGCCCCGAGAGTGTCCTTGCCTTCCTTGTTCCATCTCATCCCTGGCACCCCTGCTACCCGTCTGGAGTCATCTCTGCTTCCCCTCCTGCCTCACCCTCTGCATCCAGTCCATCTGCAAGTCCTGTCAACTCTCAGTCTCCAAGCCTTAGCTTTAGGGCGTCCACTCCTTCAGTCTCCTCCCCTGCCTGCACCACCCTTGTCCATCTACCCGTAACTGTCACATTGGAGTGTCTGCCTCAGTGGCCCCAGCTCATGCGGTAGGACTGCAGTGCTGCAGGGGTGCATCCAGCTGTTAGTGGAAGGTGGGCCGAGTGGGGAGGCACTGTCCTTCCGTGGGTGTTTTGCATTTCTTGTGATGGCTTAGTTGAGAAACGAGGAACCACAGCTCTAAGGCTACTAGTTTGCTTCCACTCTTGACCTATTACAGCTCATTAATCTTCCACAAGTTTTTAATGATATAAAAGTCGCCATGTTACCTCCCTGCTTCAGTCCTTCCCATAGCTTCCCCTTGACTAGAATAACACTCAGACTTCTATCAGCCCTGGGCTAGAGGCAAGTAGAGTGGTGCTGGCTATTTCTCAGCATCATCTCACAGCATGCCCTCCCTGGGACACCTTCACACATCCTTCCAACACCTCCGGCCCATTCCCGCCACTGGACCTTTGCGCTTGCTCTTTCTTCTGCCTGGAATATACCTCCCCACCTCTCCAAACAGCTGTGCTCCTTTGGTCCTGTTAATTTCAGCTTAAAGTGACTTCCAGAGTGCCGGTGGCTGGCCACCCTTAGTCTTTATCATGTCGCCCTGTTACTTTCTTTCCTCTGAAATTCTCTTGTTCATTTGTTTCTTCCTCTCCACACAGTAAACCCAAACCTTATCTTGCATTCTTCTCTGGTCTCCAGCATCGTAGCAAAGCTTGGGGTCCGTCATAGGCATTCAGCAAATATTTCTTGAATTTAAAAAATTGATCAATTTTATTAATAAAATTAATTAATTTTATTAATTCAAGAAGCAGCCCTTCCTTTAGTAAGATGGTCTGTGCCTTTTCCTAAGCACCAATAACCTCAGAGACACCAGAAGCATCATAGTTCTTCCTCCCTGGACTTCCAGGGTCTGGGAGATCGAAAGAGAAGTGTCCCAGCTAGGCTGGAGCCCAGCAGGCATAACGGAAGTAGGCTGAACCAGGAGCTGTGGGCTGTGTCTGCGGAGGACCGGAAGATGGGCTCGCCTTGCTTGGAGGTGTCGGCCATAAGGCTTCTTCCCTTTCCGGTGGAGGTCACAGGTGAGGGAAAGAACAGGGAAGCAGAGCAGAGGCGAAGCTGAGGACTGGACTGCGTGAGCTCCGGGAAAGGAAGGAAGGAAGAAGAAAAGGAGAGCACAGAGGAGCAGGGTTAAGCCCCAGTGAGGCAGGCCTCCGAGTGCCGATCTAAGGAACCTCTGCTTCCTTTCGATCAGGTCAGGGTGCTGGAGCTGGAAAATGAGCTACAGAAGGAGCGTCAAAAACTGGGAGAGCTGAGGAAAAAGCACTACGAGCTTGCTGGTGTTGCTGAGGGCTGGGAAGAAGGTAAGCTGCCCCTGAGGACCGGCGGTGTCACCAAAGGGGGCAGCCGCATGGCCAGAGTCTCCCCTCTCATGTGACAGAACAAGAGACTGTAGTCGCTTCTCCTCTTCTCCTAGAGCCTGTTTCCCTTTGTAAATACCCTTGAAGCCTAAAGCCTGGGCAAACTGTGGTGAGCTAGAAGCCTGTGCTGTCGGCACTGACTGGTGGACTCCGCTCACTCACTGCTGTGTCCCTGCGGGCCAGCAGGGGGGTGGGCACCCCACACATTTAGTCCCTGGCCGGCCCACAATTAGTGGTCAGTGGGGATCAGGCAGCCAGGGGCAAGCAAAATACAAGTTTCTGTCCAGAGCCAGTGATGGGCTGTTAGAGCCCAATATAGTGGTCAGAATATGAAGGCTCAGGGGGCAGCGTGGGGTGAGCAGGACCCGCAGCTCCGAGAGCACCGTCACCCTCTGTCTGTGTGCTATTTCCCACATGGTCAACTTGGCCGGCTGGGTCAGAACCAGGAATGTAGCTTCATATGTTAGAGCCCGGGATGGTGGCGTGTGTCTTGGCTCAGGGAATGCGTGCGTGCGTGAAATGCCAAGTGACGTAAGTTTTCGTTGTCTTTGAGGAACAGGAGCAGCTCCACCTACGCTGCAAGAAGCAGTCCCTGAAAAAGACTAGAGGCGAGCTAACGTGCCATACGTCAATGTAAGTCCTCATTCCCCATGTGTGTGTGTGAGTGTATGTGTGTGTGTCCCCGTCCAGCTTTATGACAGCTCCTTGGGGTCCCAGTGGCAGCCACTGACCAAACTAAAGGACCTGCACAACCCTGCAAAGACTTCCTCCTCAGTGGGCTGCAGAGATAGCTCAGTGGTCTGAGCACCTGCCTAGGCAAGCACAAGGATCTGGATTCGATGCCCAGTACCACATGCTGTGCTGGCCCTGCCCCAGGCTCAATGAGCTGGCCACCAAGACTAGAAATGGTGGCACATGCCTATAAGCCCAGCACTGGGGAGGCTGAAACAGGAGAATCACTACGAGTCTGAGCTGCACAGCGAGACCCAGTGCCAAATACATAAAATTAAAAAAAAAAAAAAAACCTCCGTTCTCAGGGACAACCTGTGTTTGAACTCATGATTGGGATTCTTTCTATTCCTGTCTTCCTTATGTCCATGTGGACTGCCCATGAGTCCAAAGAGGGCAACAGGACCATTCAACAGGGAGGACGCCAGCCGGTCTGGCCACTGTTTTATTCCATGCAATCAGTGTCCTTCTTAGAGAGGTCTCTTGGTCCTATTGCTGTTGAGAGCTTGGAAGGAAGTATGTTATTCTTTTTCTGTTCCTTTTTCTGCAGTCTTTTCCGTTTCATCATTTGCACAAATTTCCAAGCATCGAGGACTGGTGGACTCCAAGCCAGGACGCTCCCGGAGTGCAGCCAGGACCACGGGGGCATCCAGGCTGAGAACAGCAAGGCAGCTCTCCCCTTCCTTTGCAGTTCCATGGATTCTCACTGCTTCTTACGGTGGTCATTCGAGTCTCTTGGTTTTAGGTTTGGAAGTTTAGCTCACACAGCCCACTCTCCCTGGAGCTCCGAGCCCCCGGGCCCACACCACACAACCACGGTACTGCTCAGGCTTCCCCCTGGTGCTCCAACTCGGCCTCCTCCCCGAGCGCCCCACTGAGTGAGTGCTCGCCAGGGGCAGGTGACAGCTCTCCTCAGAAGGCCGAAGCAGAGTGAGTGCCTTTCCTTCCTCACGCTGGGCACCGGTGGAACAC